ATTGAAAAGCAATTTTTAGAAAGTGATAAGATCAATGAAAATTTACCAATAATCCAGGAAAAATCCAACAATATATATATAAGTAAACCATTTAACACTTTGGAAATTAGTGAAAGATTATCCAAACTAAATGGTAGTAAATCTGTTGGTATAGAAATTCCAAATGATCTTTAATGAAATGAATCTTTGTTTTTATACTTTTGTTAAAAATTATAACATTTAAATTATTTATAAATGTACTGTATTTAAAATATTTGAAATTTTCTAAATCGGTTCTATAATTTGGTAACGATTTAGACCATTTGTATTGTAAGTTGCAAATAAATTGTTACTCAAGCGAATTCAAGCGATATTAAGCGAATATAAAAACACCATCTATTATACGGTAATTACTCGTTTGACAAGTTACAAAGATGGCATAGAGCAAAGTTAGGATGGGTTTTATTGGCTGAATTTTAAGGATCATCGTGAATAACGATAATGTAAAGACTAATAGTTTAAACTGTTTGAACAATTTAATGGGCCCCTGATAATACTAATAGAGGTGGCTTTGTTAAACTGGGAATGAATTTTTATCATTTTTTCACTGTTTTTTTTTTTTTTTATGAATAGCGTATAAAATCAAGTGAATCAAATATTATAAAACCAAGATTAGTAAATAAAGCAATGGGCTTTCAAAGTTAACAAATAAGTGACGCATTTCAAAAATAAATAGGATATTTTCAATAGCATTTTTACCATGTTGAATTATAATCGGAAAATAAATTATGATTCTCTGATTTTAACTTTGATGGTACTTAAAATGGACATAATTATATTAAAATAAATATCCGATGTTGTAAAAACTCATATACCTGCCCAAATTTTGGTCAGCATTAAGCTTAATGCAGGCAAGACATTATTTTAATTTTGGCTAGATAGTTCGTAATAATTAATCTTCATTTCTCTGCAAGCGAACTCTGTGTAGTCAAAGTCGTGTCGTGATCAAGTTAAAAAGCTTTTTCAAAGTATTTCCATGGTAAAATTTTTTTTACCATACTTAGAAGTTTATAACAAAAAAAAATTCTCATGATTAAAAGCTTTGCCGTTCAAAAAAAAATTTTTTTGGAAAATCGGTTTGATCAATCTTGTGATCAAAAAGTTAAATGTTGCTGAAAGGCGCACATTACAACGGACAATAATTAGGAGATTGTATTTGATCAAAGATACATCATTTTGTAAACAACGATAAGTGGAGGTATACAGAGGAACTGTTAAAGCTAAATTGCAATCACATCAAAATCCCTAGTTTAATAAAAATAATAATGAGTGGTTCTGTCTAATAAGAATTTAAAGAAAGCGAAGACTTAATAATGCTCGACTTTTTTTAAAGAAGACTAATTATACTATGTCCTGTCCAAGATAATTTTAAAGAAAGTGAAAACAGACAAATGTTATAACACTGTCCCATGACAATTTCAAAAAAACAAGCTGTAATTTTATCTAATGACAATTTTAAAACATGAAAACAAAGCAATCTAATAAAATTTAATAAAAATGAAATAACCAAACTGGAATACGCTGATTTAATTATTCTTTAAACACGTGCAAATAAATGTATGAAAAAAGGAATGATTTTTCCGATGATGAGATTTTAAATTGTCTAAAATCTAAAGAATCACCGATTCCCACACGACATTGTAATAATCTGATATTTCCTATTCATAAATTTTACTATCTATAAAAAAAAATTATTATTAAAATAAACCTGCTTTTATAAATGGATTCAATATGCACTTGCATTTCTTTATTTTTTATATTTTTTTATCAGATTCAGATAATTCTGTTGAAGATATTTTCATTATTACGTCATTTGTGAAAACCTTAACAATTTCTTTTGCTGTAGGTCGTTTCTCTGGTTCTATGTTCCAACATTTCTTCATTAAAGCCTGCATAGCATTTTGCTGTACTTTCTTAAATATGTAGCAATAAGCCATCACATAATACGGATTTTTGCTCAAAGGCACAGGTTCTGTATAAAATTTTCCCACATGATTATGCCAAAAGATTAAATATCAGATGCTATATTATACGGTTGTTTGATCAAAACTTCAGGGGCGATGTATGGTAGAATTCCATAAACTCCATTAGATTCTGTTAACAGTTTATAAAAATCGACGTAGAGAAAAAGAAATTATTGCAGTGTCGGGTACACCTATTATAGACGTGAAACACAACTGGAATACCTCCACCAGAAGCACATGTGCGAACTATACATGTGGTTCCGGAACCTGGTCATAATTGACATGTTTCATAAAATTACAAATTCATACTGTACTTTGTTTTAACAGCAAACTATGTGGTCCTTATTTAGGTAAATTAGGTGCAATTCAATTACTGAATCAAAATCCTGGTTTAAAATATAGTAACTAATTTTAAAATTTCGATATAGTGAAATATAAAAAATTTGATTTTATTATAGGTTTACTGATTAGTTTCACTAAAATTTATAAATAAATAACATTAAAAAAAATTTTATTAAAAATATAATTTATAATATTTTGGTAAACTTTAATTATTGGTTTAAAATTCAGGAAGGTAACAATATTCGGATGTTTATTGGTTAAAAAAGCTATGCGCAATAGTTACCTTCTGACATGTAAACTCCAAATTCAACAAAATTGATAGTAAAATTCTACCTTGATTGTAATTAAATAAAAAAAAGGAATTTGCTATATTGAAGTTTCTATTTTCTGTTTGAAGTTATAACATCTGATAGTTTTTAAAGAAAAAAAAAGAACTCAATAAAAAAAAAAGTAACAAATATTACATAGATATAAAACGGAGGAGCGGCAGGGCAGCATGGCTGCAGCCCAGTTCTTCAAGAGGCAAATCAATTTCGCACCCTGCCCTACCTTCTCTCAGTAGAATTTTGCCATTTTGTGGCAGCTTAAACGTCTCTTTACGGCCGGCCTGCGTTATAAAGGCGAGAAACCACCGGCCAATATTATGTGACCACAAAGCTTCTGGCTAACAGCCGGTCAGTATTTACGCGGGCGAGAAACCACCGGCTAATGCCAATTATGCATCAACGCACTTATGTATGTTATATACAGTATCTCTGTCAATTATACACACTGATGTCTGCTATATAACTCTTTCAATTATACATCAAACGCAATGATGTATGATATATTTCTCTTTGATAAAGTTTGAATATCCAGCGCTATTAGCGCTGGAATGCAACCAACAATTATATCACATACGTGCAGTTCTTATCGAGAATGTCGCAATAGTTACAGATTTGACAATCACGCGAATGATCAATTAGAAAATTGTATAATAATAATCTAACGCTAATAATTACTACATTTACCAATTCACAGGTAACCAATCAAAAACGTTTAAACGGACGAACTCTGAAATAGATGGTTTAGATTAGATGTAGTTTAAACAGTTGATTAGCGATCTGTATAAACTGTCTGTATATTATCAACATACACTGGTTCGAAATATAACCAAATCCAACTTCTAAGATTCTCTTCTTCTATATTAATATATACTTTTCTTTTTTTATTAGATTTTTGTATGTTTTCATGTACATTAGTTGATGCTTCGGCATTATTTTTATTACAATTAGACTTTTTTTTTTTTTAATACAATTGAAAATGGAATGCTAACACAATTTATTTTATTTCTCTAATTTAATTTTTACTAAATATATTAATATTTATATATCATATTATCGAATGATATCAATATAGTTTTAGTAGCCACTATAGTTTTAATAGTTAAATATAATTTAGTAATTAACTATAGTTAACTATAGTTTTTACAGTTTTCTATAGTTATCTTGTTCGAATAGTTAACAGTTATCTATAGTTTTAACTATTAAACTGTAGTTCAAGTAGTTGATCTACACATGTATACGGATAATACGGATTACACAAAAATACAGTTATCCGGATTGCCGATCAACGGTGTCAGTCACATATTACAAATCTTCTGTTCCTAATGGATTGACTCTGTTGCTATGTGCGATCAACTAATCTCAGTTCTTGAAAAAAAGTCCTATAATATAGTTATAAATACTTATTCCCAGGTCTACAAACCTAATTTAAGTGCGTGAGGGTGAAAACCTGAAACTTATCATATTACTCTCATGCATTCATTTGATAAAACATTTGGGATGACTTATTAATTTTACAAATCAGCACACGGGACTTCACCTTTTATAACTTTCAGGAATTAATCTCTTATATGAAGTTCTTCTTTAAATAATAGATTTGACCATCAGCTATTTTGTGAACAGACATATTTATCAATAGATAGGTTCTGCGGATTCTTATCCATGTACTGCTTAGCTAAATATTCAGAATTCCAGTTGAAATTCAGGCCGTTCACCGAGAACAATTTTATATGCAAGATCTTTACCTAGTGGATAACCAACAAAGGCGTTTTTCCCGGCTGATATTTAAGATATAATAACATATAAATCCATAGACTCTTTTAACGATCAAACTCTATGTCATAGGGTTCTTTATAAGATTATATTTATGAAATTCAACTTCTAATAAGAAACATTATTAAACATATTTAAATAAGTAGATAATTTTTAAATTTTATAATCGTTTGACTTTTAGTTGAATAATACAGATAGCTTAATTTTAATAAATGTGGGGCTGATGATGAAATTTTGGGATCTCTATTCATATCTATAAAACCTACTATCCACTTTAATTAATAAACCCTAGTCCCAAACTTTAATTAATCTAAACTATTATATAAAGACTAACCAAAAAGTTTTAAAATTTTCAGCATCATCCCCATAATAGATTCTAACTAAAACTATACACAGTACTAGTTTTATCGTTATTATTTTACCAGTTTTTCTGCGATATATATTAATGTCAGTTTATATTGCAACAAAACCATTAAACATAATGACAGAATTATGTCGGCATCACTAACAACAAATAAATCATAGTTCAAAATTACAGCCAGCAAATATGTGTGGATTTTTAATTCTCTTTATGATTAATAACTTGTAATGACTGTTTTTCACTTAGTTCATCATTCGATCTCAATTGTGTGTTAGAATACATAGAAATGGGACCAGCAACACTCGTCTCTCTAGCTTTTTTGTATTGGAAATTACGTTCACCGTCACCAAAATTGACTTCAACTTTGCATTCACCATCTGCTCCAACGGTTGGGAACCAAATATGTTTCAACCCAGTAAATGCATTACCTAGAAATTTGCCATTTTTAGTAAAGAAAACAACACCAGTATCGGGATAATAGCCACAACCTAGAAAATAATAATATTATGCATATATGTAATTAAATAACTTTTGAAATTTGCAGTTCAATTCAAAATTTCTTTCTTTTCTGTTTACCTGTAGTATCTCCAACTTTGCCCCATACTTCGGCATACCTTCGACCTCCAAATCCGTTATTGTGAAATTTGTTTCCATCATCAGAATGATAACCTACCGAATAATCATTCCAACCAGGCAATCTATTGAATTGAATTTTTTTAAAAAATATATTTAAATATTTGTATCAATGATAATTGAGTCTTACCTGAAATTTGGATATGGTTTTGTTGCAAGTCCAACAGCAATTGTAGTATCCTTTAAGTTAGGATTTGATAGTATAGTCACTTCAAAGTAATAGAACCAAGTATCTGCAGTTTTATCATTTAACGAAGAACTTTTATGATAATTTTGCTCTGATTGATTATCACTAATCATTAATTTAGTCTCAGAAGTTTTATCACGCTGTGGGTGAAAATGGGGATAATTTGCTTGTACCATGACATCATCTTTTCCATGAAAAGATATAATGCGCCCTTTATTTGACACGATCATTATTAGATGTGGCACGTTCCTCAGGAATTATCATCTCCCAAACCTTCGGGCCAGATGATAAAATATGTTCAATGTCTTCTTGTCGTGGCAATACTTCTTGAGGTAGATTTTTACGTGTAAATTGTAATGCAGCTTTATATGCTTTGTATGAGGCTACATGTGTTAATCCATGTAAATAGGGTATTTCTGGCGTTATGCTTGCATAAGCTGGTGGAGGATTTTGTATTTCAGTTCGAGGTAGAACATTATGACTTGTGGGCATGGTACTTTCAAGATCAATGGGCTTGCGTAATTTCATATTGTTTTTTTTTTGCCATTTTCTTATAATCCATTTTCGATTTCTACATAAAACGAATACCAGTGCTACGAATACAATTAGTACAAGTACTGAAAAAAAAACAGACCAAGAACCAAGATCAGAATTTCCACTACCACCTAAATATTTTGTTTTAATAATTAATTAAATAAGAAGTAGCGAAGAAAAGAAAAATTAGAAAAAAAAGCAGTAATCTTACTACTCCCAGTGTCATCATCAGCACCAGCACCACTAACAAAAAAAGTACTACTGCTACTACTACCACTTCCACCACTTTTACCACTACTACTGCCGCCACCACTACTGCCGCCACCAGCACTACCACCACCACCTTTAGAGAGTACTAAAAATGGATGGAAAAGTAAAGCCAAAAGTACAAATCGAATCATTGATAATTTAAATCAATATAATGAAATCGCAAAATTCATTTTGAGTGATACTGTGTCTTGATAATACTGTAATATGGATGAATATTGTAAAAATGAATTTTAAAAAAAATCGGTTGAATGCTTATTAAACAGTTTATATAAACAGAATTTTATACAGTATATTACTAATGTAGAATTTGTTGTGAGATGGCGAATTCTGTGTGGGACATTCGGCTCAAAAATGATAAACAGGTTGCAAAGCCATATTGGGATTGTAAATATAAGCTAAAATCGGATACAGTATAACCAACATATCAGAGTAATGTTATCATTAGGGATTTATCATTTATGGAAATAACGGATATTACACCAGCCGTAAGGTTGCGCTTTGAATAATAAATTAAATACTGATTTAATTCATTATGATGATTTATTTATCTATAACAAAAATTTTTAGGTTACACATGGATATTCTTTTATAAGGAAATTAGGGCAGCTGCGCTCTAAAACCAGGAACGTTATATGAAAATATTTTAAAAGTTAAATTTTAGAAATAGAATTTATTTACATATTATAATTAAATTAATTTTTCTAAAAGTTAAAGCTTCATTATCTTGTGAAATTTAATTTATATTGTTGATTTAATTCTCTAATTCTCTATCTATTATTCTATGTTATCAATTATTTCATTATCACTTTTCAGCTATTCTTCTACTATTTTATTAAAATTATATTGTACTTGTCATTTTCATATCATATATTTTATCTTTTATACTCATAATTGATTTATTTTTTAATCTACTGTTGACAAGAGGAAGATTTAGATTACGATAAGAGTTATAACATGTAATAAACGGATGCGAAACCAAGTAAAAATTTCAAAGAAAAATTAAAATATATAGATATTAGTTGCAGCTTTTAAATTTTATAAATTGAAATATAATCTGACTATTAAAAAGATTGGTATAAAATTTGTTTAATATTTGTGCTAGGGATGACAAAGGTTTAAACTTGATCTTAAAAATCACAGTTGTTTGATTTTTATTGTTTAAAAATGGTTTAATATGTTCTTAATATAATATCATCATGATTATGAAATTATACCGATACAATTCGGTTTATCATTAAATAGTATCTATTGATTACTAACACTAATATTAAAATAAAAATAAAAATTATTGAGAATAACTATCGGAAGACCTCCTTTAAAATAAGATTGTTTAAACTTTACAAAGGTTATAGAAATTGACGAGCGTGGTCCTCTTCAAATGTGTATTCATTGTGAAGAGTACTTATTGATTTACGTAATCAGTAAGTTAAAGTAACATTTAATAAAAAGTGTAAAAAGCTTCCAAAAAACGTAATTGTCCGAAGGAAATTATGGTCCGTGTTGTCCCTAAATTATGAGATTTGATTGGCTAGATTAGGTTAACATAAAAACAATCAAAACAATCGTCTTTTATAATCTGCCTATTTGATTCTTCGGACTTTAAATGGTTTTCATTTCCTAGTATATTTATTAAAATTTAACATCGGTAATAAAACCAAAAAAAAACTTATTGTCCGAAGGACATTACGGGAGATCTGGTTGTGTGTGTCTGCAAATTAAGGGTTTTGATTGGTTTGCTCCGAAAATACCATTGTCGGACTGATCCGTGATAAGTCCTTCGGACCTTAAATGGCTTCCATTTACCAGTATAGGTCAAAAGAAATTTCATATAACTAATATAAGTTTTTTTCTTACACGTAAAAAATTCGAAATTATGTATTATATTATCTTTTAAATAAATCGGATAAATTAACCGGATATGGGGTGCCAGTAGAAGCCAAGCAAATTGTTTTTAGTTAGTTTTTTTAAAAATTTTAAATCAAAGTGTCTCAACAACTATTAAACCAAACTTGATAATTTTTTTTTTTTATCTTAATTCTAGAATTAAAAAAAAAATTTTTATTAAGTTTGGTTTAATAGTTGTTGAGATATTTTATTTCAAAGGTTTAAAAAAATTTACTTAGAAACAATTTGCTTGGTTTCTACTGGCACCCCCATATCTTAAATATTAATCCGTTAATCAATCTTATAATTATTATTATAATCCGGTTATTAGTGGTAACCTATTATCATACGACCATTATTCATATTGATATGATTTCAAAGTTAGGGCAATTTTTACAAGTAGAATTGTCTTCCCGACATTTTTTAATAGTGTCCAAGATAGTGATGGGTACAGTTATGTAGGGATGGTAAAAAAACGGGTTAAACAGTTTTTTTAAAAAAATTTAAAACATCGTCTATCAGAAGCTCTTGCTAATAACATAATCTTAAAATCTGTTCTTTAATGGACTTGGTATTAAGTTAAATACTTTAGCAGTATCACTTTGTAAAAACTCAACACTTTGTTAACTGATGCTAAAATTTGGCTGCCACCTCTGATTGGTTTATTTTAGTTTCAGAAAAATAGATTCCTTTATAATTCGAATTTACTACAAATAGTGCCGTTACATGAAAAAAAAAAAACTTACAAAGGCTGTTTAATTTATTATTATTTTTATTGTTTTTATTATATAATTTTTTTAAATAAGCTTTTACACTTTTTATTAAATGTTTCTTTAACTGACTGATTAAATCAACAAACTCATCTTCACAATGAATACACTTTTAAGTTTAACCCAACTTTTTTCAAAAGGAGGACTTCCATTCACAATAATTTTTATTTTTATTTTATTCTTTATTTATATTAGCATTAGTAATCAATAGTACTATTCAATTATAATCGAATTGTATCGGTATTAGAGATGGGTTTCATGCGTGCGCATTAATGCGCATTCATGCGCATTTTATCCCATCTAAATTTTATATAGGAAACTTAAAGTATATATAATTTAGGCCAAAGTGTATAATGCCAGGCAAAATTAAGAAATAGGAATGCAGAAGTCTTGAAAAATTCTGAAAGAAAATGAATGAACATAAAGATGAGAAGGGTCGGGGAAAAAATTTTGGCAAATATCCGATATTTTCTGGAGGGAAAATATAAAATCAAAAAAATATTATATCATGCGATATCATGCGCATTTATATAACGTGCATATTAATACACATTTTCCCATAATATAATTAACTGTTTCATCTAATAATGTTTGTGGTGAATCAACACATTTTAAATTTTTTTTTATACTTGGAATTGGTAATGATACAATATTCCACATAAACCAAAATTTACTTCCTTTTCCTAATTTACTTTTTGTTATAATTTCACCATTATTAATTTCTACCAATTGCTTGCTTATTAACAGACCAAGGCCCGTATGTTGTGCTCAGGCTAACTTGCTATGAATGGAATTGTTAAGTACAACAATCTATAATTTTTAAATGCGAATATATTACATTTAATAGTAAATATCAATGTAGTTAAATTATTTGTTTTAAATACATGGGCAGGGTGTTAAAAAAGAGGGAAATCGACAAATTTTCAATTTTTTTTTTTTTTAACATGAATCAATTTAGAATAAAACTAGAATCATTTTTTACTTGAAACACAAAAACAGTTGTATTAATGAAATTTTGTAATATAACACTTGATTTATTATAAAATATATAACATAAAACTAGGCACTTGAGTTGCTTAAAGGAAGTTAGAGATAAGTATACTATACTTAATATTGTATTATCAGTACAAGGACCTCATATTATGATTAGGCTCCATAGCTGCGATATCAATGTAAGGACCTTATGTTGTGATTAGGTTTGTGTCTGTCGTAGGCAATGCAAGAACCTTATGTTTGGTAATTGAGCTCACCATAAAAAAAAAGTCAAATTTTTTTCAAATTTTTTATTATGAAAAATGCTCATTTTTTTAAAATAATATAATCTGAACAAAATCTGAATAGAATTTTAGCAGTATAAGGATCTTGCATAGTGATTAGGCTCCATGGCGATGATAACAATGCAAGGACCTCATGTTGTGATTAGGTTCTATGGCTGCCACAGGCAGTGAAGAATATCACATCACATTCAGTGATTAAGCTCCGCACTACAAAAACAGTACAAGGAATTAGGCTCTGTGGCTACTATGACAATGCAAGAACCCATGTTGTGATTAGGCTCTATGGCAGCCACAGGCAGTGCAAGAGCCTCATTTTTGATGATTAAGCTCCACAACTATGATAGCATTACAAGGACTTAATATTGAAATTAGGCTTCATGCTGCAATAGCAATACAAGGAACTCAAGTTGTGATTAGGCTCTATGACTATTGCAGGCAGCGTGAGAACATTATTTTTGGTGAAAATGCATTACAACTACGATAACAGTACAAGAACCTCACTTAGTGATTGGGTTCCGTAACTGTGATAGTATAAATTAATCAAAAAAAAACCAACAATAACATTTTCATCATAGTTTAAAAAATATTTTTTTGAAACAAAAGAAACGTTTATATAATTGTCACAGGGATACTTAACTATGGGGCTTTAGATTGGTTTTACCTAATATCAAGCACTCACTTTGCACTGGATGATTTGCCAGGCACATACAATTCAGTAACTATAATTACTGTTTCTTGCTAAGAATATTTATTCACTAAGCAATGGAAATGTTGTCACTAAGAAGCTTGTTCA